GTGACTGCTTTACAAATTGGGTTTTTATATTTTGGTCAACACCATATAACGGCTGTCATTGTGTTTATTTACCGTTTGCCTTTTTATTTTCCTTCGCGACATGTTCGGTTGCAAGTTGTTGGCGAGATTTTAGTGCTGCACGTTTTCGACAACACCTTGGCGAATTTTGAGTAATTATTCTGTAAAGTTGGCAACATAAGTTTTAGTGGTGTCGGTCATTGTAGTCACTCACATTTTAGCACACATTCGGTGAAAGAATCTGGTATAAAAAGAGAACGGTGGTTATAGAGGATGCGCAAGGAATTTAGGTTTATGGAGRAATTCAAACGGCAATTAGTGCAGGTGTGCACCTAAGCGCACCAAATGCAGTGATCGGTCGTGAATTAGATATAGGAWAATTTCATAGAAATAAAAGTGGTAATTAACAGAAGTGCATACGGTACTCAGATCCACTTTTTCTGGCCTATTTTAAAAAACATGAAAGTTTTTCGTTAGATAACTCTTCTTTTGGTTACCTAAAGCTAATACAGCAATTTTCGGTTATATTGTCACATACAAGATTCCACAGTCTAAGTAAAGCTTGTTGAGTACTTTGTCCTCCAAACATCAAAAAACAACTGGAACGTCCACAAGTTCATTTACATTACCYCATCACCTCCACCAAATTTGATTCCAATCGCCTTCTTTAATCCTATATCCATCGATTTTATAAGTCCTCAAATATCTAACAGCCTACAACTTGATGCTTTATTACATCCAAACTTTGTTTGCTTTTAATCTGAGCACGTTAGCGCTGCGTACTTTAGTTTATTTAATAATTTGTTTATTATGTAAGCTTTAATAAAATAAAATTAAAAAAAATAAATAAAATAAAAAAAATAAAAAAAAATCTGAGCACATTATATATAACACAAACATTTTTCTACTAATTTTGGCTTTAATTGTRAGGTCCAATTCATTTCGCTGACTTCCCAGCTTCGTTTACCGAGCTTTGATTGGTGCAGCTACAGCTATCGGTGCWGCTTTGACCTTCAACACACCTCAGCATTTCGGATTGTGGTAGCAAAAGCCTTAATTGCGCACCTTACTACCACACAGCGACAAGCACACACTAAATATGCTCACCGACAATCGATAGTAGACCAAGTTGGCCCAACAACAACCACSAACAGCCAGCTCATTTAACTAATGGACCCAATAGATCGTCGAAATAAATTGAGTTCATCGCAAAGGTCCAACTAAGTTCGTTGTCAGCGATAAGACTGCGGGTGTTTAAGTGGCTTGCCTTTAGCTGAATATACGTTTGTGTGTGCATGTGGGCTGTGCAAACAAAGTATGAACCACCTGGAAACAATAAAACAGCGGCTGCGCCAAGCAGCGATGACAATAACAAGCAAAAATGAAAACAAAATTTCGAACAGTAAAAGTTAAGAGCTTACTCTCATTGCTGCCGAAGCATTCTCATTGCTGGCCTTCTCGATGGCTTAGCCCGAAATGCACAGTTAATCGCGCTGACTCCAGCTGYTATGCCGCAATGTCGAGCAGGCATAGAAAGCAAGYGGTCGCCTATTTTGGGCGCATATTGAGTACGAAATTTTTATTGTTCTGAGAAATTGTTATTAATTGAGTTGTAGCGCGGCGGCGATCTGCGCGCCTATCGCTGTACAAGCATCAGTAAGGCGGTAAATCGGTGAAAGGCAAAGCGAAGCGCACACCACTTCAATATCCCAGTGTAACTCCGTGCACTTGTGTGTGTGACTGAATGGCGCGCTCGTTGGCTGCCAGCCTCAAGTAGGACCAGTTCCTAAGCCTTCCTTGTGGAGGCCGAAGTATGTGTGTGTGTTTTCGAAACTTCGTGCTTCTGTGTACATATACACGCACACCAARCCGCGATTGAACTATTCGTATGGCTGCAGCGCCCAGCACAAGTGGAAATGCTTATTAACTTTAGACACTTGGCAGCCACCTTCACAGGATACAAGCAAGCAACCCTAACTGAAAAACGCATCACTTCCATTATTTTATTTGCTTTTTTTTWAACACTGTATACTTTTTCTAGAATGTAGCCGTACAGTGTTCAACTCATGCTAACAATATTGGCCGCGCTCAATAWGCAATGCCGTTGAACCAGCACATTTGTGGTGTGGCACGCATRCGTGTAGCTTCTAATTAACCAAGTAACGATACTAGCCACATTCACGTGCAAAATATATTGACTGATGGTTGCTGATGATTGGCAAAACGAAATACAAAGCGAYGCTGCATGCAGCAAGTAMTTCAACTGCACCATGCGGCCATGCCCTCTCTCCTCTGTTTCGCGCTGCTACCTTTTCATAGGTTTGCACAGACTTTGTTTACTTTTTTCCCATACCTTTGCCACAAGTGTTTATTTTACAACACTTTTATGGCATAGTTTCTGTGCTTGCTGCGACTACGCCAAGGTTGGCACTGAAATGCTGCAAATTTATTTCTCAAACCAATTGGTGTCTAGACAAAGAAACGGTTAGTGCTCAGGCGCTAAATATGTTGGAGTTTTCTATTAAAAGTTATTGAGTCTTCTATTTGCCTTTAGCCGATTTTATGTTCTTGTTGTTATTTTTTGTATACATTTGGTGTTAACTTTGTGGTTTTGTAAATATTTTTTTCTTCTTTATAAAAAAATATATTTAAAATAAAGGTTTTCTGTTGCATGAGGCTGCGAACCGTTTAAGTGGTCTGGCCAATTAGCACGCAAATCTCTCTTTTACACGTATACATATATTTTTTTCAACAATAAAACGAAATCATTTTACGAAAAAACTTATTACAATACCCCAAGAAATTATTTAGAAAGCATTTTCAGGTTAGGTTAGATAAAGTTAAGAAACTATTCTTAGCAAGGCTAAGAAAGATTCCATTTCAGCAGTTGCTCTCGCCTCAATTTTCGAAATTTTTGTAGGATTTTTTTTTTGCAAAATATTACCAACAGCTCGCTGGGAAAAAAAATGGTAAGACTTTTTTTTATAATTTTAAAATTCTTAAGTTAAAATGGTAAGACTTTGGTTATAATTTTAAAATKCTCAAGTTATTCTTCAAAATCTAAGTTGTCCCTCTCAAAGTAATCTCCTTTGGTCCCAATACATTTCTTTTTTTTTCCAATCCTTGTAAAATTAATTTCCGGAACAGCCTTCAATGCGCGTAGCAATTCACCCTTCACCGTCTCACAGATGTTATCGAACGCTATTTTTGGAAAAAATTTAGTGATTTTCTAACCAATCGTGTTTTCACTTTTCTCAGACCCAAGTGATCTTTCAAAATAATTTTCACCGATCCCTCCGATATTCCAACAATGTCAGTAAGATTGCACAGATATCGTTGACAGTCATACCAATCTAGAAAGAAAAATAATGGATTTTCGTGCGAATTTTGAATTCAAAATTCTTACTATTTTTTGCCTACACYTATGGATCTCGGTATTTGTGACGAAGATACCAGCCAAGGTCTCAAAACTAAAGCAATAAAAATATGTTATTGTTCTTTACTCTCTTATCGTTCCTGAAGTCAGCTTTTTCTGGCATTCAAGTAGCTTGTTAATCAATCAATAACAGCTTAGCTAAGCTGAAGATCAGATGAAGGTACAAARTTTTAGAGTTCGAACTCTTATATATAGTATATTGTTTCTCTGGAAGTATTGCTCAATTTGCTCAACCGATTTTATACAAATGCGTTGACACCAGCGCCATCTAGCAAGTCATTATGGCAAGCGATCTAAATGATAAGTTCAAAAAGCTCGCTACTACACTCTTAACCCACTTCAAACAACGCATTTCACCACAAGAGTAAGATATTTCCTCTTAATTACGCTTTCGTAAGGTTTTAAATACATTTTCTCAGTCATTTCTTATATAAAAATGGTATAGCTCCATTCGCCGCCTGCATTGTATCAAGGGTATTAAAAGATAAATCAGTGCAAAGCAGGAAATTTTAAATCAAGCAATATTAAATTTTATGAAAGTAGCCGAGCGATAAGAATTTTCGATTTGGCTGMCCGCATGCCGCGCGCCCTGCGTTGCCGCCGTAAATGCCACAACYTTTGCGGTTAATCCTTGCCCAACACGACGGCAGCACGCAGAACATTAAACATAATAAATCTTTAAAGAGACATGAACGGCGTTGGCACTTGCATACACACACACGCATGCTCGCGTTTATGCAAGTCTGCAGCATGCAAGCAGCATGAGGCATGAGGCATAAAACATGCGGTATGCCGCATGCCGCATGCTGCAGCGTGAGCCATCGCATACCGATCGCAGAGGCAGATAAATAACTTACAATATTTCGGAGGTCATCCCCAAATGGCCGGCGGCGCGGCGGTTGCGCGTGTTGCATTTCCTTGATGCCCGCAATAGTTGTTGTTGTTGTCGGCGCGTTTCTTATGCAAGTGTAGCGCGTCAGCCGATCTGCGAAACGAATGCGCCAAGTGCAAATTTGCGAGATGAGACTGCACTGAGTCAGCGTAACAAAACGTCGCTAAGCGGCACATAGGGCGCGCGGGTGCCTGCAACGTTTTGCGATTTGTTGCATGATTCGATTCGTTTGCTCGTTAATTTAGTTGCACGTTAAGATTAATTAATTTTCAACTCATTTAAAGCAAAGCCACTGCGCGGCAATACGCGGCACTGCTGGCCGTTGCCAGCYCGAACAACCGTGTGTTGTTGCTCTGCGCAATGTTGCACGCATGAAGACATCGTTTAATCGATTTTGTAGCATCTAAGCGCAGTGCGCACGGTGCACTGCTCACCGCGCCAGCACCATTATTAATGGTCTCCTTGGGCCGTCCCTTGTATGTGTGTCGCGTTTGTGGCTTAAAGCTTTCATTTAAGCGCGGCGCAACGGCCGCGTCTTGGCCTTCAAAGGTGCGCGCGCGCAAGCATCGCATAACTCTGTACGTGTAGCAAATCTTAATTCAACTATTCTCTTTTTATTTAACATGTTCTTCTTTGCTTCTATTTTTCTTGCAGATGTCGTCAGGGCTGGCGTGGACCACTGTGCAACGAGTGCATGGTGTATCCTGGTTGCAAGCACGGTTCGTGTAATGGCAGCGCCTGGAAATGCGTGTGCGATACCAATTGGGGAGGCATACTCTGCGATCAAGGTGAGTAGACTGTTGTTCACAAACACACRCACACACACGCAAACACAGCACTCGACATGTGTTGCATGTGTTTGCCGTGGCGCTGCAAATTGCCTCGGTCGGCAGCAAAGTTTGCGGCAGAAATCAATGCAAGCAACTGGCAAGTAATGCATTCAATTGCTTGAAAATCCATCTAAATTGCAACGGTGTAGCACAGCAATCATTGCGCCATAGAATGCAACAACAACAACAACAAGCGATGCTGACATCAAACAGGGGGGCTTGGAAGCGAACGAAGTTATGGCAAATCACACGTTTTAGCCATGGCAATAACGCATGTTGCATATGTTGCATGTGTTGCATGTGCTACATATGCTGACGCGAAAGCCAGCCAGCTGCGCTGCGCATTACAGCCGCAAATGCTGGTTATTAATGTGGTTGTTGTTTCTGTTTTTGTAGTTGTTGCTGACCGTGCAACGATTTGCCATGCAGTTTAATATATCGTTCGCTATCTGTTGCTGCCCCGCCATACTTTCTGCTGCACATGCGCACACACATGCTTGTGCATTGCTGCCGCAGCTTTCTTATTATTACATTTTCCTCATTCTTAATTTATTTATTTTGCTCATTTTCTATTTTTACCCTGCCTCGCATCGGCTTGGCGTTGCTGCAGATTTAAATTACTGTGGCACTCATGAACCCTGCATGCACGGCGGTACCTGTGAGAACACCGCACCTGATAAATATCACTGCACTTGCGCCGAGGGTCTGTCCGGCGAACGCTGCGAGATCGTGGAGCAACCGTGTGCGACGCAGCCGTGCAAAAACGGTGGAACCTGCAGGCTCAAAGTAAGTACCAAAGAAACTGTAACAATAACAACAAAAAGATGGACAAAAAAARTCGAAAACCAAAATCTTCAAAGTAGTTTTTGTAATAACAGCATATCCGAAACGCGRCCGTGTGAGGCTTGTATCGAGTAATGTTGTTGTTGCAGGATAACAATCCACTTAGTATGCGTATATTTGTAGTTAATACTTTTAAGTTTTATACTTTAACTTATATTGAATATTTTGTGATATTATATTTAAGTAATGAAAAGATTATTTACAATTATACTATAGACAATATAATTACACTATGTACTATAAAATATGTTCGTAATGAGATTACTCATCATTTAGTTTAAGCGTACTTAGTGCCAAGCTCCATTTCATTTTCCTCTTTTATTAGTTCTGCGGTCACAGTTATACATTAGATATTGTTCAATTGATTGCTGTTTCTTAAGGTAACAATAGTAACTATTATAGAACTGTAACTCAGATTAGAATAAATACTTAGACTCGACGAAATATTTATATGTCAAAGTTATGAGTCACCTTGTTTGTCCGCGATGGACTTCTAAACTACATACTAAACCGATTTTTRTAAAATTTAGCGCACTGTGTCCACTTCGAACCAACTTAGAAGATAGGATAGTTAAAACAGTACTTAAAGAAATAATACAGTGAAAATTCTATTTAATGGACGCCTTATTAAACGGACATTTCCATATTGAGCACAATCTATTAAGCAGACAACTCTATTAACTGGACCGAAAGGCTGGTAACTAAACATTGMGAAAGCAGCCTGAACTTCGTTATTTTTCCAGCGCTTGGGCCTCATTGAGAAGACGTAGACGAATGCTTAAAATGTTTTGATTTTCATAAAGAGGTCATTACCAGCAAACAATGCAAATTTTTTGACGCTGTATGTTTGGAATACATTTAATCTATTAAGGCATAATTATTTTGGTTATAAAGCAGCAAAGAAAAAAACTTCCCAGCTGCTATTTTCCAAATATTTTGTAACAGATCCTGCAACATGAGTCCAGGGGTTGTCAAAATGGAAAATTTCATTGTGTCGAAACGCGAATACCGAGGTATTTTCGGTTATAGCTGGCTTCAACTTGATGATGATATTGACAGCGTTCCCCATTAATACATGGTGTTCCAAAATTGAAACCCTATTCCAATCATATTTTGAAAATTTCAAATTGCGGTCCCCAGGTTTTGCGTATTTTWGCAATATTGTTCAATACTGAAGACATGTTGTTCTATTGCGTAACTCTTCACTTTTTACTAAGCCTAAACTGTCAGCTGTCGTTTGGTTTTATTTGTCAACACTTTACTACATAAATGGAGGAACACTCTTTACTCAATTCTAATCATGCGTTAATGTTGTGCACCATTTAGTGCCACCCTGTTTTAGGCTCGTAACACAGCACCATTGATCCCACCAAATGCAGTATTTAACTGCCGTCTCGGATATTCGGCATTGCTGTGGATTTAGCCGGTTGACTAGACTTCACATATATTTGTTTTGGCGTTYACTGTTATCGTAACGGAATTATTTTTGTAATCAGTCACTATCCGACGCAAAAATTATACCTTTTTATAGTTTCCATGTAGTATTTTTCTCTTGTTTTCAATTCATAGATATGGCATCCAATTGCTTGCTATGGAATGTATCCAGCTGCTTTCAAACCTGTGAAATAACTGCGTAAGTSACTCTTAAAGATTCTGCCAGCGCTGCTTGGGTTTGGTAATAAAATGCATGTCATAATGCTTCCAGTTACTCACCTTCAAACTGTTTTGGCTGTTCGCAATGTTCTTCGTCTTTCAAGGTTGGTTTCAAGGTGGTAGTGGTTTGAAGGTGGGGATCGTGGAAGTAACTTTTCGATTGGCTAGAGAATTTAACAGTAAACTTCTACTGAAATACGCACTTGCTGTGCCAATTTGATGCAGTAGTCGTATATCTTTTTATATTTGCAATCACGTTTCACMTTCTCTTTCGAAGCAGTTTCAATGAAGCTACTAATGTCCGATATGATTTTTGTGGACATCTATTCAAGGTCTGATTGTTGATGGATTCGAAGTGTTCTGTGTCAGATCTGTGATAAGGCTGGGCATTTACAGGAAAGTGGAAAATTCTTTCCATGCTCCCTAGTATTTCGCAGCACCGGCAGATGCGGCATACCCATTTTGGACGCATGTTCTCCAAATGGTCAGTGTCCTGTTATGATAGCTACTACACTGTAGATACCTTTTGGTAATACATATGTTATAGTTTTCTGTGTTGAAATTTGTGGTGGGCGTAGACAAGGGCAGGAGAGCCGCCTGGTATCCTCTCGTTTTCAGTTAGTTTTTCAATACAGCTTCGCAGGCCGTCTCTATGCTCAGTACTTCCACTTGGAAGATGCTCAGTTCGGTAGGCGCATAGAGATAAAAATGTCCAGATATTTCATATAGTCTTGTAAAGTTTTAAGTTATAATAAACCAAAAACATAATTTTGGGAATTGTAATTGTGTAAACACATTTTTGTTTGTAATCCAACAAGAATTTTTTTAAACAAGTGTAAAAATTTATGATTTTATGACAAGTTGTGAGCCCCCCAATACTGAAAAAGACGCGCATAGACAATAGTTATTCAACGCAAGTTCGGAATAAAAATCACGTTACCCCATCCCCTAGTGAACCGCTCGAGTATAGTTATGGAACAATGTTATAAATATTTCAAAGATCATGATAATTTCATATGTCTATAGAATTCAATAATTTGCGTAGAAAACAAAATATAATAGCATGTCGAACGAAGTGTGATCACAGTTGCTATAAGGACCGCCTTACTGCAAAGTTTATTAATTTTAGTTTCTTATATGAGTATCTAATCCGAATCTCTATATATACGTATTTGTGTATGAATTTATGTATGTAAGCAAAGCTGTTTGTGAGAAAACGTATCATCGACACACACATACGCATATAAACACTGCAACAGAAATATGCTTAATATGCGATATTAATGTTTATTTGTATGCCATCACGCTGTTTATTACAATTTACTTCATGCACATTGCCTCATTTGACCACTTCTCAATAACATATTTTCTTGTATTTCTCTTCTCTTTGCATTTCTTTACGACTTTCCGTTGCCATTTCATGCTATGCAATTTCATGGCTGCACTTTACGGTACACAAAACCAACCATCGACACATGCGCCGCCTCTACACACACACACACATATCGTGCAACTGTTAAAWCCGCAACAAACTGATCCACCAACCGCAGGAATCAACACTCCCGAACGTAACAACGTTGCCGACATATCGTGCAATGCGCGGCATGAGCTCGGCAATGGGCAAACCAGTTAGCCGCCGCGACTCACTGCTAGGACTGGCAGGATTAAGCGGCGGTGGCGCGGCAGCCACAACGATACCGACTGGCGCAGGTGGCGGCGGCGGCGGCAGCGCGAGTGGCGGCGCGGGTGATGGACGCGGCAACAGCACGAGCGCCATGAGTGCACTTGCCGCGGCGGCCAAATTGCTGCCAGGCGGCGGCGGAGGTGTCGCTAATCCAGCATTGGCCACATCCATGCTCATGCAACTGCAGCAGTACCACAGCAACCCCAATAGCGGCAACGGCGGCAGCAGCCCTGGCACCAGCAATCTGCTGCACTCGCCGCATCACTCGATCGGACATCGGGCGCAGCAGATACCACCGGTTGGCGAATACACTTGCGACTGCACGCCCGGCTGGACGGGACCATCATGTGAAATCAGTAAGTATCAATCTATGTGTATATACGAATTGGTAAGCTAAGACGAACTCCGTGGTGATCGCCGCTCGATCGGCGGTTGGGAGTACGGTGCGCGTGCGCGCGTATGCTGCATTGCTTTGATTTATGTTTCATACATTTATTCGTGTGGACTGTRCTTTGCTTTTTTGTTGTTGTTATTTTGTGTTTTTATTTTGTTGTTGCYGTTGTTGTGGCTGAGGCGAGTTATTTTCCTGCGATTAAATTGCATCTATTAGTCGCATTGACTTGAACGATCGGATCGCAAGCGATCGGGTGAACAATCTGTGGCTGCGCTCGGTAATTGGGAAAAGTAGCAAAAATTCAGCGCAAACAAAAGCAAGAAACGTTTTGCGTTTAGACTTGCTTGTGTGTGTGTGTGTGTATGAACKTGTATATACAGTCGGTCCATGCCGCAAAATTGAATTAATGCAACAAAATGCCATCTAATGAAAAGCGCGTAATTGCGTTCGAGCCGCATGCTACAAATTGCCGCATGGCAAATGCTGCGTATGCGACGCCTAATAACGCTTGCGAAGCATTTGACGCATGCGTAGCGCTTTAATTATGCAAAATTTAAACGTGTTTGTACGTCCAACTAGTTCGCAATTTTGTTGCGCTSTTGTTGTTGCTCACATTACTACAATTTGCCGTCAAACGCTTTTGAATGCGTAATAATTTACTTCGCGTCCAAGCGCGTCCTCAGCTCGAAGCGCTTTACTTTCACCACCAACAGCACCAGCAGCGGTCGTTCATGACCTGCGCTCGCCGATTAACTGCGATGTTGCATGCCCCATTAACAACAACTGTGTAGTACAAATCGACTAACACCTGTTACCATTGCTAATCGCATGCTAATGCCTTGCGCTGATTCMATTTCTCGCGCTACCCGCTGCTATTGCCAATCGATTTTTTATTGCCATTCGAAAGYCACATTTAATATGCGATCAACCGACCGAAGACTTAGGCAACAAACTTGCTGCGCTGCCAACTGAAAATTTAGTGTGTTCGATATTTCTTTTGGACACTTTATTGGCGCATTCGCGCATTCCTGTCACGAGTGAATGTTGTCGAAAATTTCACATGATATTATGTATGCGAAAAGGAAAATTCATTAAAATAAGATTTTAAATGATCTGCGCGCATGCACTTTGCTGACGCTGGCGCGCACTTTCGAATTGAATGAATGCCGGTTACTGTACAAAACACACACGCGCGCACTGCAAAGCAGAAACCGAAAAAATGTTGCCGCACATACACATACACACATACAGGCGCAGAGAGTGTGTGTCAGCGAAATGCAAAAGTGACCTGCGCACCGTCACTTATGACTAATTGCTCGGCTAATGTAGTACGTATGCGACCCGTGTAACAATCGCACATGTGACTTTGTCGCACCGCCTTTTCCTCGAGTATAACACAACCAACAAACAAACATTGCGTTTCTCTTGTTTGACTTGGGTATTTGCTTGAGCGCTTTTAAGCACACATCGCTGTGCCCAACGGCGCGCTTGTTGCTTTTGGTTCGGTGGAAATGCATCACTTACAACGCTGAACGTGTCACAASTATGAAATATGTCTACAAACATTACCATTGCCACAGAAACATAGCAACAACAACAGCAGTGCTTGCATCAAGATAAATCTTAACACATTTTGGTCACTTAAGATTTTTGTCGTGTTGCAAGCTAACAACTTAAGCGTCGGTTAAGGCATATATTTTGAGGTGTGATGTATTGCCTTGTGATGAGCTTGAAGGAAAATGTGCGTTATGAATAACAAATTACTGGAGATTACACGCGCAAAATTTTCCACAGAAATTGTAAAATATGTTGCAGGGGCCGTTCCGTTGACATGCGTCTGGATTCTTATATTATTTTTAGCTTTTTAAGTGAATTTGAAGAAAGTATCAACTTTCATGTAGAAAAAAAGTCTAATATTAGCTTAATTTTTATAAAAATATAAACAGTGTTCAAAGTTTGCTGTAAATCTATATACGACCTGAAAATTTTGTAAAGCTGAAGGTAAAGATAATTTCAAAAACTCAAGGCAAATCTAATTTTCGCGCTCTAAATTGAATTTTCGTGAAATCAAKTAGAGAAAAATAAATGTTTCTGTACATACATCAAGTTGGACCTTAGTTGGAGCAATTTTAAGATACCTTATTGTATTCAATCATTAGTATAGTTCAACTTATTTTTTATATTTATAATAAACCTTAATGAACCAAATATGTACCATTTTGATATACAACTTTTTGCCATTTTTCCGCTATAGACATTATTCCACCGGCGTAAAGCTTTTCTGGTTTCTCGGCAGAAAAATGCAACAAGTAATTTTCACAGGCTGCTTTAGAAGTCAACTTTACTCCATTGTCGGAGTTCTGCATTGACCGAAAACAAATGGTACAAAACTGCCCACCCAAGATCTCCCAGGTTTTGCCAAGTCATCAATGATGTGTGTGGCCTAGCGTTGTCCCGATGCAAGACGAAGCCTTTTCTATTGATCAGTTCTGGTGGTTTTTTTCGATTGCTCGATTCAATCGCATCAGTTGTTGACTGTAAAATGTGGAATTAATAGTTTGATCAGGCGGGAGCAGCTCATAGTGGATGATTCCTTTCCAATCCCACCAAACAGTCAGCATAACCTTTCAAGACGTCAATCCTGGCTTTGCGACAATTTGTTGAGCTTCAACACGCTTGGACCATGATCTTTTTCGCACATTGTTGTCGTATTTGATCCACTTTTCGTCTCCTGTTACCATTCTCTTCAGAAATGATTCGGTTTCATTGCGTTTCAGCAAAGAATCGCAGATGTTAATTCGGTTCATTAAATTTTTCACAKACAATTCATGTGGTACCCAAAYATCGAGCTTCTTTTTGTTGCCAGGCTTTTTTAAATTTGAATCATTTGATGATGAATCTTAAGTTACATGTCATGGCTGCTAATGTGACGGTCCACAATGTGATTGGTAGCACTGGAAAACTACRACTGGAACGACATCTATTGACAAAGTAYGAAAAGACTACCATAAAATGGTTCACATCGGAAATTGTAATCAATTTCTTGTATCTTTAAAGGTAACTAAAACTTCGTTGTAGCCAGAGTTAATGCAGCCTGTAAATGTCGGACAGTAGTAGACAAAGTTCCCACCAACAAATTTCTTGGTTACGCTGCTCTTCAATTTCATGCCGATGGTTTAATTATTTTATTGCTTTTTTCCYTCCACTGCCGATTTGCCTTCCAAGTAATTGAAATTTGCTGAATTTCAAACAAAATTAATGAGAAATTAACCTGCCATGTAGCTTCTATCAGAAATGTCCGTAAATTATTTTTCGCAACAAAAACACGTTTACTTTTTTGCGTGTATTTGCCGCATGTAATGCCACAAATCACATGAAAATGTAACATGCTGCTCGCGGGTAGCAAAAAGTGGCAACAAAATGACTACAAAACGACGCGTCTGTTGATTTGACTTTTAAAGCGATTTGTAAGCTTCACAAATGGGCTGAGCTCAAGCACATAGCGCGAATGATTCTAATACAAGCACACGGTGTACTTTTATTTATACATACCTTATTCTTTTTGTATGAAAATATACACATATACTTAACAACCAACTCACTTATTTCCTATGCATGTGTGCGTGTGTGTTTGCAAGCAACGCAAGCTTCAGCTTTCAGCTCTGCTCCCTAACAACTTATAAATATATTTATATATAAATATAAATATAAAAATAAATATATATGATTGTATATGTGTGCGTGCGCTTATGACAAATGAGCGCGTCTTGTCAAGAAGGTGTTAAAAGCATTTTTGCTTCATCCCGCGTACTTGCGTCTCATTGTTGTTATTACTACATTTCTCATTTCTGTTGTTGTTGGTAGTTAGAGTGTGTTTGCTAGTATTTGGTGTTTATTCTTCATCGTCGCTTTTCCATTGCTTTGCTGCTGCATCGTCGTGCGTGCTTTCATGCCTCTGCCAGTGCTGTTGACTGTGGCATTCGACTACACACGWTCGCTGCTCGCATGCTACACTTGCTTTTGTTTGCCTTCAATTCCGCCTTACGTTCAGGTGTACGCCATGCGCGCTCGCCTTGCCGCTTCAGTTCGTAAACTTTTGTAAGTGGCATTCAATGAGTCTGTAAACACAAACAGCCCTTTGATTTTCTCGATTTGCTCGGCGACATACTGCCAAGTCAAAGGCAGGGGTAAACAACAAAGTCAAATATGATAAATGAAACAATGCTTTTAGTATTTGCTCAACGCAAATAAAATGAAAARGTTTTCGAATTTCTGTAACTTCGGAAATTGTCAGCGGCAGGAAARAGAAAATATTGTTACTCGTGCGGTCATGCTAATAAATTGCTCAAACAAAATCGGAAAGTGTAAAGTTCGCTGTAAAGKTTTAAGCATTTGTGCCCTCCACAGTGTCAAATAAGAGTATAGCATGTCCAACTGAGGTTTCGATTTATTTATAAAAAAAATTTATGCGATTTTACTAATGTTGAGGAACTTACGCAAATTTTCGTAATTAAAAATATTTGCGGCAATCTCATATTTCTCTTTACTACTTTTAAGTGAGGCAATATACTGCAATGACTGCCTTAAAAATGWTGTGAAGCATGCGAGAACTTTGTCTATATTTTTTAACTTTTCTTGAGTCTCTTCTGGTATTGAAATTAGATCTCATAGCAGATTTGTGTTCGAATCGGTAGTTTTCGTCGATATGCTTGAATTTCTGACTTTTTCGGAATTATAGCAGAAGCTAACTAATATCAATGATTTTTGATTGAACATCAGCAACTTGAGCTCAAACTACCTCATTTATAATACGACAATCCCGACATTCACGTTGCAATTTTCTTAAAAATAGTACTAAAAAGCAAGAAAACTCGTTAACTTCGGACTTCCATTGAAGCTGCAATATCCTTTACAGCTAAATTTTTTTAGCATAAAAAGGCATCAAATTATTATATTGATTTGACCAGTAGCTTGAATGTTTATTTGAATAATTTGTTCGGAGATTTGTAGCTAATTTTGGGTTGCTAAAACCGAGGACGGAGTCATGTGTAGAAGTTTACGTAAGTGAGAAAACATCTCTAATTACCATTCACTTGGGAGTGACCTGATACGATTATTTTACATATGGCTCAAGCAGCACACGACTTCCGGYCTTAGACCAAGTATCCTCTGGGTAGCCAAGCAACATMCGCTTGAAGGTGAACTAAAGTGAGARGGCGGAACATCCCCTCCATTCACACCACGTTGCATGTAGCAGAAAACCTCCAAGAAAGAACCTGGCTTCGCTTGGAATTTCCAATTGGCGCCAAGTAACGAAAAGAAGAAACGACTGACGCRTAGGTTTTTGTGTGGTAGACAAGGGGTGTAGGAGTCAAACCACCAATATTTACTCAAATTCGTAATGAGTACACTTGAAATACCACACRGACCGCTTAGCACATCAATCCATTTTTTTTCAGATTTGTTAAGTAGTGTTATCTATCTCGAATTTCGAAAAGATACCTAGCCAAAAAAATTCCATAGAAGGACTTGCGTTAGATTGTTGAGCTTGTATGGCAGCTGTAGTGATCCGATATCGCTGGGTCCGCGACAAATKAACAGTTTCTTGTGGAGCAACAGACGTGTGCAAACTTTCACAACGATACCTCAAATGCTGAAGGTTTACTCCGCGTATATAGAGATAGACAGATATAATTAGATCGATTCAGCTCTAGATGCAGATACTTTATGCACATGCTTTACATCGTAGGATGTTAAATACTTTTAATGAATGATTTCAGTTGATTAATAAAAATATGAGCCACCGCATTTAGTTACGACTTTCTTAAAATTTTAATGCGTTTCACATTTATGAGCATACGAGCATTCTCTCCCTTCATACGCTTGCCCACCAATGTAGGTTCGTGTCTTGAGTCTTTCGTTGCGCCAACTGTGCACTTGAGTGAATTCCAACAAAATTTGCCTATCACACATCGCAATCGAGAGAGAGCAAAGCATGCTTAATTGTGTAATACTACAAAGGGGAACAAATGTAAACACACGCCTACTTGCGACCACAACAGCGCAGCGACAAAAAATGAATCAGGCAACAAAAAGTCTAAACAAATAAAGATAACACAAGGAGCGAGCGACAACACTTCAAATGGTAGAAATAAATAAATAGTAGCGCAAATGCAAACATTCGATTTCCAACAACAGATAAAAGTGTCTCACTGCCGCGATACTTAAGCGCTTGTACCCACATACATGTGTACAACAACATACGAGTACATGTTTCGATATGCTCGAGGAGCACTTGATTTGCARCTTCCTCACTGGCCACAGCGCAGATCTCACGGCTGCCACATCATTCAAGCATCAGCCGACCACGAGCCGCCATGCTCGACCGGTCCATCTGCTGGTCATACACAAATCTATGTTTGTACGCTGTTACATGTATGGGTATACACTTACAAAAACAACAACAACTGCAATAACAATAGCAAAGCACATTAATAGACAATGTTGTATCTCCGATTCGTATCAAGCGAATACCACAAAATAGTTATAGAGCAAAATAGAAGAAAATTCTAACTCATGCCTTACTCTATTTCGCCTGTTTGCTCCTTCCACCTCTCCTCCCTGTATAGATATCGAYGAGTGTGCTGGCGGTCCCTGCGAACACGGTGGCACTTGCATCGATCTAATCGGCGGCTTTCGCTGTGAATGTCCTCCCGAGTGGACAGGCGATGTATGTCAAATTGATGTAAACGAATGCGAGGTACACTATACAACAACCTGTCTCTTATACACATCTAGATGTGTATAAGAGACAGAGATATCGATGAGTGTGCTGGCGGTCCCTGCGAACACGGTGGCACTTGCATCGATCTAATCGGCGGCTTTCGCTGTGAATGTCCTCCCGAGTGGACAGGCGATGTATGTCAAATTGATGTAAACGAATGCGAGGTACACTATACAACAACAATAACGAACGGCAACAACCACCACAACAATCATCATCTAAACAATGGCGCTGGAACGTTGGCCGACGCGATTTCATCGGCAACCTCTTCGGCGGCGTTGATTGCCGCCATAAGCGCYGCGTCATCGTCCACAGCTGCCACGGCCGCCGCCAAGGCAGCGCTACAATCACAGGCCGCATCTGCAGGCAATGCCACGGTCATTAGAGCAGCAGCGGCGCAGGGCGCGACGCAGGCCGGSACAGTGGGCCCGTGCATAAACGCGCAGCAGTGCGTCAACCTGCCGGGCTCCTTTTCGTGCGTCTGCCTCGAGGGCTGGGGTGGGCCGACGTGCGCGCTGAACCTTGACGACTGTGTGGGACAGTGCAAAAACGGCGCGACCTGCATCGATCTGGTGAACGACTATCATTGTGCGTGCGCAACCGGCTTCACAGGTGAGTGGCGAACACTATTAAACACCAATAATTATATACAATATATAGATAAATATGTGCGCATGTGTATGTGAGCATAAAACGTAGTTAATCATAAAGTATGTGGCAAATAATTTGAAAGTCCGTCCAATGCCGCGCACTGCCGCCCGCGGTTATAGACGGGCACCGCGCGTTGCGAGTTGGGCGGCGCAGCAAGCCACTTATTTTTGATTGGCTTTACGCTTTGTTAGAATGATTTGGAATGCTTTCAGTTTTTGTAAATACAATTCCGTTAGCCGTTGAATTACTTTTAATATTTGTCTGCTTATTTCGGCGGTTTTTAGGTCGCGACTGTGAGACCGACATAGACGAATGCGCTAACTCGCCGTGTCGCAATGGTGGCGAATGCGTGGACTTGATTGGCAAATTCAAATGTATCTGTCCGCTGGGTTACTCCGGATCGCTATGCGAGGTAAATGAATTTGTTATGTAATCGTTATTATAGCGAAAAACTTAAGTAGGCTGTGAAATTGCAAATATGTCGCGCACTGAGTTGCAAAACGAGCTGGAAGAGTTCATAACATTAGAGWGCGGCATTTAGATTGCGGTAGCAAGGACTGCTTCACATATTTTTTAGAAAGATGCGGAAATAAATCTATAAATATTTTTTTTTTTTTAAATCGCCGGTTTTCAAAAACAAAATTGATTTTTGACCAAAATTTCGTCTTTAAATTGTTTGAAAAAGATATTTTTCGGTGAGAAAAAATTTTCTTTTAATTACTAAAAAATATATTTAAGAAGCTCGTGTTAAATTTKGAGACTAATCAGTATAGCCGTTTTCGAGTAATGTTGGTCACCGACTTTGAAAACACAATTTTGGGAAAAACACTAAAAGTGTTGTGTTGTCGGAATGCACCTCCAAGCACCCTATGAAATTTTCTGTGTGTATTCTTTAATATGTGTATGTACATTAATAAAACAAAACTAAAGAAATCGATTTTTTCAAAATTCTAACAGCATATAACATCTTAAAAAGTTTAGAATAATATCCCAAAAAAGCTTTTCAGAAACTTTCTATCCTTAAAAAAACACGAAAAGGTTAACTAAAATTTCGAGCAATATTTCAAAAATAAATTTTAGAGAATTACAATCCTTAGAAGGGTATGCATAAATAGATAGATGTGTATAAGAGACAGGCATATAACATCTTAAAAAGTTTAGAATAATATCCCAAAAAAGCTTTTCAGAAACTTTCTATCCTTAGAAAAACACGAAAAGGTTAACTAAAATTTCGAGCAATATTTCAAAAATAAATTTTAGAGAATTACAATCCTTAGAAGGATATGCATAAATAGATTAAAAGATTACTTCATAATTTCCAAAAAATAATTTTCAAAATATAATATTTCATAAATTAAAAAAAA